ATAGCGAAAAAAATGCCTAAGCCAATACGTTTTTTTTAAAGCAATGATTAAGCTAAAGCAGCTACGTTGTGCCAAAAAGGAGACCTATAGGAAAGAAGATAGATTTTTGTACCATCAGGGCAGGAATATATTAATAAGGAAGATCAGGGTAGTAAAGAGAAGCTACTTCAAAAAGCTGAAAAATCAGCTCTCAGCTAATGAACTAGCAAATGTGTGGAGAAGCCTGAAGAATATAATTGGCTACAGCAGACCTCCCTCCATCACTGAAGAGAATCGGCAACCGGCAGATAACCTGAATGTGTTCTATTGTGGGTTTGAGAGGAGAACACTGTCATCTATCATTGTCTTTCCCCACCTCAGATGCACCAGCAATAGCCAAATCTCCTACACCTATCTCCAACTCTCTGGGACCCCACCTCTGGTGTAGAATAAATACGTGAGGTCTATTTCATAGGCAAAAGATAAAAAAAAAAACACCAGGCCCAGACAGAGTAACTCTTTCTTGCTTGAAAGTCTGTGCTGAACAACTGCCTTCACCCATATTTTGAATACATCACTAGAGACGTGCTATTGTCACTTCTTGCTTCAAATGCACTTGTATCATCTGGGTTCCCAAGAAACTCCCCATCAAGGAACTAAATGACTGTAGATTGGTTGCTCTGACATCTGTAGTTATGGAGATCTTTGTTAGGCCCACCTGGAAATCATCATAGATCTGCTATTAGACCCCTAATAGTTTGCCTACCGAGCAAATAGATCGGCAGATGCTGCTGCCAATATTGCATTGCATGTCAAGGTATTAATTTAATAGCTAAACAGCTTATGTAATGATGTAACATAAGGTGGATGGTGCAATAATAGGAATGACTCAGCCGGTGTCTGTATCCCTTTAAGAGCCTGAGTATAAAAGGGAAGGCTCTGCTGCTGTATTCTCTCTCTTGTCTGTTTCCTGCTGTAATTGCTGTGTATTGGAGTTTGCTGAATTATCATGTGTATATATGTTGTTTCTAGTATATTTGTAGATATTGTAATATAAACCACCATTTAATACAAACCACTGTTTACTGTATTTACTCCTGGGCTACCTCAGCGCAATAAAACTGTGCATGCTCTGACATTGCACTACATCTTGCAACATCTTGAATCCCCAAAGGCCTATGCAAAAGTCCTTTTTGATGTCTTCAGCTTGGCATTCAATACCATCATTCCAGAAATTCCTCACATGTTCCATTAGCTGTGCCTGTCTGTACTTGTGGGTAAACTATTAGCTTTTTGAAAGATAGGAAGCAACCGGTGAAGCTAGGGAAAATCACATCGAGAACCTGACCAATCAGCATGGGTGGCCCTCAGGACTGTGTGCTCTGTCCATTGCTCTTCTCTCGCTATACCAATGACTGCATCTCTAAGGATCCCTCTGTTAAAGTTTTGAAATTTGCAGATGATACAACATTCATTGGTCTCATTCGAGACAGTGATGGGTCTGCATATAGACGGTATGTTGAACAATTGGCCCTGTGGTGCAGCTAGAACAAACTGGAGCTGAACATGCTTAAAACATGTAGAGATGAGAGTGGATTTTAAGAAGACCCCTTCTATTCTACCACCTCTTACTATATTTGACAGCAGAGTATTAGCGGTAGAATCCTTCAAATTTTCCAGATTTTATAAACTCCCAGGATTTGAAATGAACACCTAAAACCATCACTAAAAAGAATGTTCTTCTTGGACTTCCAGTTTGATATTGTGGCGGGACTCCATCTTCCACGTTTGATTTCGCCCCTCTGGGGACCATAAAAAGGGTTGAAAATCGTCCCGAAGAGGTGACAAAGAAGGAGGGGACCCTCGTTGATTGCAGAGAGGCGGCAGCCCTTCCACTGGATCCGAGGAAGCTCTCCAAACTGGTGGTGGAAAGACTGGCTACATTTGCTGCTGACAACCGAAGACAAGAACTAACTAGCAATTTCTGAGCAATGTGGATGGAACTGGGTGAGACTTTATCCTCTTTTTATGACCTTAATACTACTCTCCTGGAAAAAAGAATGGCCAAAGCAAAGAATCCTCCCTGATGAGAGAGGGAAGTTATTGCCCTGCTCCCTCAGGAAAAGAAAAGCGGCTAATTAATTGCTTTGGGGGAAAACAGAGGAAACTACAAGATCAATTTGGAACTAATACAGATCTATAACTTTGAAATTTGGAGACTAAAAGTACCTTTGAGACTTTTTTTTAGAAAAAATATTTGAAAGTTTGCAAAATAAGCTTGGATTTGGAAAGCTGGAAGACAGTGTCAATGACATCTAGTGCAGAATTATGGCACTACAATTTATTATGCTTAAGGGAAACTTGGCTTGAAGCCCAGACTCAGATAAGACACTGGGCACTTTCACATTTGCAGACTGCAGCTGGGAAAAGGGAAAAACAAAAACTCTTGGGCTGTTTATCTGGGTTGGGAACCTTATTGGACTATAAAGACTACATACAAAAACAAAATTAATGTTCCATACTCGGCCTTAAATGGTAAAAAAATCATCTTCAACACTTGTCTCCAAAGCTCCCAGTTTGATATATCAACAAGAAAAAGTTAATGAATCTCAGAAAGAAATTCTTTCCATGTTGAAATCAATTCAAGAGACAATTGTTTTATTTCAGGATGAGACTAAAAGTAACGCAAATGAGATAAAAGGACAATTTTCTAACTTAAACTTACAAATCCAGAAATGACTGCAAAGAAGGAAAAAAAACAGAAGGAAAATTAAAATTAGAAGAAATGGATCCAAAGATGGAGGTCCTAAAGAAAGGAATTAACAGACAGATACAGACAAATGAAAAATTAGAAGATGCAGTGCTAACACCAGAAATGGAAAAGACATCATACTTGTTAAGATCTCAGAACACATTTGAGGATAAGGAAGAAGAGCTGATCAAATAGATGATAAAGCTCTTAAGAGAAATGCTGAATAGTGACAAACAAGAAATGAAAAGAAAAACTGAAGGAGAAGGATGAATGAATATAAATGGGTTGAACCTTCTTCCAAAAATATTTCAACCAAATTCTTTTCCTCATTCCAAACAATATATACAAAAACAGAGGAAGAACTACTTGATGATTTAAATGTACTGACTTGGAAAGTTATTTGGCAAAGGAAGAAAGCTAGAGTAAGACTGAAGAAAATAGAGGTTCTGACCTATTAGATGGGATATTATATGACTAAACAGATGTTTGAATATGGCTAATAATAAATATTATTATAATTAGGATAGAAAATTAATAAAATAATTATTTAAAAAAAAGAATGTACTTCCTACGTCAACTCAGGAAGTTCAGACTGCCCAGGAGCTATTAATCCAGTTCTACAGATTAAGTCTGTCAATTGTACGAGTGTAATTGTCTGGTTTAGTACAGCAACCAAATAGTACAGGTACAGATTCCAACGGATAGTTAGGATTGCAGAAAAAACAACTGCAACCACCATCTTTCATAGAAGACCTGTATATTACACAGGTCAGAAGGAGGGCTGAGAAAATATCTAAAGACTCCTCACATCCTGGACATAAACTGTTTCAACTGTTTCAGGATGCTGCTATAGGGTATTGCATGTCAAAACAACTAAACACAGGGACAGTTTTTCCCCTCATGCCTACTCTGCTGAACACCTAATTCTCACAGTACTATGTCTGTGTATATTTGCCCATGTTGTATGGCTGCAGTATTATTATTATCCTCCCACCTTCTTTACTACCCTCTCTTATTCGTATCGTTATTATAATTATTATTATTCTGTTGCTTTGCATGTATACTGAGAGCTTTTGCACCAGAGACAAATTGCTTGTGTGTCAAATCACACTTGATCAAATAAAGTATTCTATTCTATTCTATTCTATTCTGTTCTGTTCCGTTCCGTTCCGTTCCGTTCCACTCCACTCCACTCCAATCCATTCTATCTCTTATACTTTTTTAGAATTTTTATAATTAGTATCATTTTACATGTAACCATCTTTACCCAAAAATGAGTATTTCTAAGGGTATAATTTTAAGATTATCTGTCAAATATTGTCACTCTAGCAAATTTGTCTTGAGACATTTGACGAATGCGTAGCCTTTGAAAGTGAATTAATGAACAACTGTGTCTATCAGATAAATTTTAGATATAATGTTCTGGTTAAAATACAGTTCTGTAGTAGAACATCTTGCAAAATCACCTTTATTGCTCAACCCAGCATGCTGTAAGTCTAATTTAAAAACCTAATATAAGTTCCATTCAGCTATATTAGCAATGTAAACTATAGCTTTACACATGGAATAAAAAGGCAATTTATTCAAAATTAAGTTCTTCCATCCCCAGACCACTGATCAAAATTGTTCTAGCAGATGTGAGAAAAGTAGTTTGTATACAGGCTTAATTCTAAAGACAACCTTCCTTTATATTGTCCATTTCAACTTTGTGCAAAATACAAGCAGACATCAATTTTCAACGGATTCTACCTGACGAATGGGAAATGAGTTGTTTTATTTATCACAGCATAATTTTTTTCACAGGCACCATTCTGTGTAGAGCCGAAGCAAGCAGATATTGGCCTATTTAACTTATTATAGTGTGAATGCTTCCTGATAAATTCTTCCTGGTACAATAATTTTCTGGATTTTGGAAAAGCAAGAACAAATTGACACCCTCATCGTTTCATTAGGAGACTAGCATAGTACAGGCACAAACATAAACTGGATGAAGGCTGAAAGGAGACATGTGGAGAAAGTAGTGGAGGAGCATAAAAACAACTTTATGGCTAGACAACAGGTGCATTACATTTGCCTCAGTTATATTTTGTGGTTATATTCTCCAGCAAGCTGTCACAAGCAAAAGTTGTAAATAAAACAAAAATATCTGAGAAATACACAATTGTATCTATTTCAATCTTTGACCTATTTTATATTGTGATTATTAGAGTCTTTATATGCACAACAAACATGTATTATATTTTTCAAGATAATAAAGTGGTCTTTTTACCTCTGGATTTTCATCTTTTCTCTTTTTGGTAGCAGGTCCCTGAGTTGACTCTTCAACAGGTTTCTTTATCTCCACTTTATTTTCTGTCTGAGTTTGAACTTTAGGTTGAATGATGATGACCTGAAAATAAACCAATGCATATAGCTAAAGGAAAGGAAGTATTTCCCAATGTTGACAATTTCAAGTCACGACACGTTAACTTTAATTTTGGCTAAGGAAAATGCAAAACCTTTAAACTGAGGTCTGCTCTGTCAATAAAACATGTAAAAACACAGAAGTTGTAATAGGATTTGAAGGCCAGGTAAGCATCCTACAAAAATATCCTTGAAGTGACAATTTCCTCTACTGTATGTAGGCTTTGCTTTTTGACAACAACAGAAAAATGGCTTGCCACTGACTTCTCTGAAGATATTTTTGGGCTTTCCAATCTTGCCCAAATTTGTATCCTTGATCTCTATAAAGTTGTTGAAAGAACATTTAGACTCACGCTACAGTAGGTCATCAATCTGCAGATAATCGTTTAATCTATAATCTATAATACAGCAGTTTATATCCTTTAGCACCTGACAGGAATCAGTAAAGAGCTAGATGAGATTGAAATATAATAGAAATTGAGAAAAGAGCTGCATTCCATCTACCAGATCACCCAGGAGCCCTGGATATGATGAAAATACCTCTGTGTTTGGAGTCACATTCTCCATTAAAAATAAAGTTATGGACCGTCCCTCTGGATTCTTCACAGTTACATCAGCTCTGTTGTTTGCATCTGTTTCCTCGTAATTTTGCTTTGATACCATCTTGATCTGATTACCATTATGGGCACTTAATTGGTTTGCAATGAAAGATGCTTCTGGACACTCTGTCACTTCTGCACACTGCAACTGAAGGCCAGTAATGAATATGCCAATTCTGCAAAAGCTCTCTTGCTTAGCTGTCAAGCCAGTTAACCCTTAACCTCTTCCGTGGCCCAGTTCTGGGATATAGGAATGAATCCCTTCATGACTGCCAAGTGAGGTCAAGTGATAAGATTTGATTATGAATCCCATTTACTGAGGCATACAAGATTCTCACTTTACTCATCAGGGCGGTCACTGTAGTAAGCAGAAACTCAGATCCGCCGTCTTGATATTGTCTTAACTTAGTCATTGATAATGCCTGCAGTTCTCTGATGAAACTTACCTTGCTGTCAGCACTGATGAGAAGTGGTTGCACTTTAATGCTGTCATTAACCACCGAGACAGCAGCGCTGGTGTTGATGGGCATTGCATTATTGGGAGATGTTGAGATAATGGCATATGCTACCCCAGCACTATTCAGGGATGAGGAGATGGCTGCCGTCTCTGTGACACTTTGTGATTGGCTGCTGGACGTCTGTACATGGCTAACAGTATTATTGGCAGTGGGGAGGGCAGGAGCTGGGTTCTTGATGCTGACCACTGTTGCCTTCTGAAACGTTGGAGGTTGCTTGGAAGGTTGATCTCTGCATGGAGAAATTGGGAGGCTGTCTGGGATCAGAGTCTTTGGCCTAACCTGCAGGAAAGAGGAAAAGAAACTCTTCTACGTAACTCCAGAGGAAGCCATTCCAATGCCATTTAACAAAAACAATGGGGCTTTTTCAGATCATGTTTCCCCCCCCCCAACAGTTTGCTAAAACGCAGATTTCGAACCGTGGGAGATGAAAATACAGCCCACCACCTCACTGGGCGAAACAAGGCCTAGATCAGTGATGGCTAACCTTTTAGAGACCAAGTGCCCAAACTGCAACCCAAAACCCACTTATGTATCGTCGGGTGCCAGGCGGGCGTGGCCCATTGGGTAGGTGTGGCCCATTGGGTGGGCGTGGCTGCGGTGGTAACAGCAGACTGGGTGGGACTAAAAAGTTCAATCAATCAATTCCAATTTTGCGAGATCTTTTTTTTCCCCACGAGAAGTTGAAATTGATTGATTGAACCTTTTTTTTTTTGCACACGGCGATGGAGGCCTAAAGCGAAAAGGTTTTATAAAACCCAGCTGAAGGCCTAGGACTGGGGTGACAGCGCACGTGCCCACAGAGAGGACTGCGTGCCACCTGTGGCACGCATGCCATAGGTTCGCCACCTCAGGCCTAGATCTAATAAGAGAGGCCCCACATAGATGATTTAAAAGCTTTGACTTTTCATAATACAGACGAATTATTTGTAATTTGCTAAGCTGTTGCAATGTGCACAATATGAAATTGCAAAGTAGATAGTTTTACATGTATATTTAGAACACGAGCATTGTAACTGTGGGAAATGAGGAACTGAAAGCAACAGATGGATGAAGATTTCAGATGTACATGGGTGTATGTGGAAACTGCTGGTCAGCAAGAAAGAACAAGGAACTGATTTTGCGAGATAATGACTATCTATGGGTGGTCATTGGAATAAAGGTATAAAAGTTATAGCTCAAGATCAGCTCGGGGCCATTGGTCAATAGCTATCCTTTGGAGTTGCTATGTCAGTGGACCTCATTGCAATGGGTTATTAATGTAAGTGATGTTGTGTTACTATGTTTGCTATGTTCCAAATTATTAGCAAGATAAACCTCTGAATCTTAAAGTAAGAATTATTGCTTTGTGTTGCTGTCTTGTGTTTCTTTCATTGGGTTTTTTCCACAACACAATCTTATTCTCAGTTCTGCTTACGTGAAAGCACCATCTCCCAAAGGCAAAGCAAGATAGAGTTTAGGATCAGGGGTCCACACCCCCCTGCCAAGAATTGGTCCTTGCGAGCAAAGGTCCGTGCGAGCAAAGCCCCATTCACACACATGTAGAACCACGAAACCACGCTCCCATCCGGTCTGTGGAAAAACTGCTCTCCACAGAATCAATCTGTGGTGACCAAACGGTTGGGGTCCTCTGCCTTAGACTCTTTCTCCACTGTAGGTTCCACATCAAACTCTGAAACGATAAGCTCTACAGAAAAGAGGAACTTGCTATAGATAGCATCATGGTTTAAAGCAGGGGTGTCAAACTGCTAGCCCGTGGGCCAGACACGTCATCCAGAAGCCGCACTCACCCCATTGCCAGCAGTGGCAAAACCATCCTGATACGTTGTGCGACATCACGTGACGTTGCAAGTTTGACATGTCTGGTGTAAAGGCTCTAGATCTGCTCATTCAACTCAAAAAGTCCAAGATGCAAGTGGAATTCCTCCCTGTGTATATGTGTGGGTGGGTGTGCATCACATATAACACATGGGTAGAATTTTGTCACATCATGATGGCAATCACCTAGAATTTTGTCATCATCATCATGATTTTTTTTTTTAACCATACGCCGCAGATATCTCTGCCCACAGCTATGCAATCATGACTCTACAACAGCAGATAAGCACTTTCTGGAATACATAAATGAACTAATACATCACTCCTTCCCACCTTCCATCTGCTGCTGTCCACCTCAGTTAACATTAAAACAAATGAGCAAAACCACAATGGAAGTTCCTGATAAAAGTCCTCTTCCAAATTTTCCTAGTGAAAAGCTAGGCAACATCAGACTCACTCACTAAGCGTTAAAGTTGCACCTGCTTTTCAGAGTTCTGACCAACAAGCATTTTCTTTTCAATTCAAAATGTGTGAAGTTACTCAACTGAATAACTTTGATGTAAAATATTAAAAGTGAACACTCTCTTATATCAAACCTGACCACTGCTGATTTCATGAATACAAATGTATAGTTTCTTGGCAGTATCGTGGGTTGTGAGAATAAACTTCAGGAACAGGAGAAAGAGCTGCATCCAAGACAATCTCAGATTAAAAAAAAAAAAGAAGAGTCTTGGGCAGAAATGTAATTTGAAAAAGTGTCTCAAATATGACTCTCCTTGAGACATGAAGGAGACAAAGGGAGGGAGGGAGGGAGATCCTTGTAATAAAAGTAGTAGTATCTTGCAAGACTTTTGTTTCCTGGTCAGGTCCACCTTGAAGGGCTGGCAGGCAGAAATATGAAAGAGGATTTTTTTTCAGCTTCTCAAGCTGCTCTAAAATCCTGAGATTTCCTAGTGGTCTCCTATCCAAGTGCTAATTAAGCCCATTCCCACTAAGCTTTTTGGGGATAGGGCAAAGTTATCTGTATGATGCTCCCTGCTCATGCCATAATTATATTAATATCTCTTATTTAGTCTTTAGTCATTAATACTTACATAAACAACAGTTTGTGCATTCACCAAAATCAAGCAGTATATATTTTGTAACTGTACCAAATCAGAATGCATTTCCTTAAATAGAAGAGAGGCGGTCTAAAATTATTCCATATGCATTCCATGTGGGTAAACACACAAGTCCTCATTGGCTGCTATCCTCCCACTTTTGGTATTTGGTCCACCAGGACTAAAAATGGTAGTCTGGCTCTGTGAAAGAACAAATCAGATTTATCGTGCTTCCGTGCTCTCATGTGACAAACTCTTCATGCACAACTTAACAAATATGATACTTGCAGTGGCTGCTTGCTTTATCTCTGAATGGAGAAGAGTCTCCAGTGAGAAGCATCCATTCCATACTTGCAACAGAAAGAGATCAACTGTTGAAAATTTGATTCAGTTAGAGATGGAATCCAGTTCACTTGAATTGTGGGCAGAGGGACAATATGAAACAAGAGCACTCTGACCCAGTAAATTTGATTATCTTGATCCGATACAGAAAGCATCTTTGGAAGAAAATGCTCCACAAAGATTTGTCTATGCAGCAGAACACCATCATTTTTGAGAGACAAAGAAAGTTCTTACCAGCTCAAAATACATAGTGAATATTCAAAATATTGTATTGTGTACTGTATAGTGTATCATACTGTGTATTTTCCATCATTAGGACAAATATAACTTGACACGTAGATTGAACGCAATTTGAAAAGAAGCGTCTTCCATAATAATTGTTATAAATCCATTTTCTTGACCAAACGCAATAAAAGGTTCAGTGAAAGGAACGTCTGAATGGACAGAAAGGCAACTACACTGCATATGTTTAGGACAGAAACTTTTTTCACGATAGAAAAGCCCTTGGCATAAGAATGAATGAATGAATGAATGAATGAATCGTTTAGTTGCCAAAGGCCATCAGCAAAAAATAGGCTACAGAAATAGAACATCCATACAATAGTGCCATTCATAACAAAATAAACGTTAACATTAATGTCATAGATTATATACCACAAACAGGTAAAAAAGAGGGATGGCTTACTTGATTAGCTGATGCCACTAATTGTCTGCTGCTGCACACTACACAACGGTACATTTTGATGCCTTTTAGCTGGGAACAAGATACTGTCCCTAAGAAAATGCTGGGAAGAAATTGTTCTGGATAGTCTGGAAAGTTTACTTAAAAGACAATACAGTTATTGCACAGATCCTTATTAACCTGTGTATATCAGAACATGCCCAACTCTTTCACCGACCTCTGAGTTACAAGGGTAGCTGCCTTCCTCAAAGGAGCCTATTAAATTTGCCTTTCAACAAAGCAGATGGAAGGAGTCTCAACAGTGAGCCTGAATGCACTGATTAGGCAGCTGAGGGCTCACAGTTCAAGAAGCACCCAAGATTGCAGTCCATAAATAGCAAAAACTGTGAAAAGTATTCATCAGTAGGAACATCTTCTAGGTTCAATAAAATTTATCGAAGAAGCCAGCCCCACCGGACAGAAGCTAGTTTAACCTATAAAGCATCTGGGTACAATTTCTGTTCTAACTGCAGATGAACTAGATCAGGGGTAGGCAACCTCGGCTCTTTTATGACTCATGGACTTCAACTCCCAGAATTCCCGAGTCAGCATAGCTGACTCGGGAATTCTGGGAGTTGAAGTCCATGAGTCATAAAAGAGCCGAGGTTGCCTAGCCCTGAACTAGATGCATCAGAGAAGTCACAGAGCCACTTCTAACGATATTTAAAATGGGATACAACACAAAATGCCTTTTGGAAGTCTGGATGTGAATCTGCTTGGCAAGAGACAATGTGGTGCCGTATTGGATTGGGACCAGAAACACCTGAGTTTAAATCCACCCTCAGTGATGGAATCTCACTGGATTTTCTACAATATTGTTGTAGGAAACATTGGAGAAAGAAGAGCTAAGTGTACCACTTTGAATTCCTACTCAAGTAGAATACAGTGGAAATCAAATGAATTAATGATCTTCCTGGGCAATAACAAGGATCCACCATCTGATCTCTCATGCGTTGATAAAACAAGTGAATCTATCAACAAAGACTGACATATGAGAGACAATTCAAAGGTTTGTCTGAAAGTCCTCCTCCATGATGATGAAATATCCTGAAGGCGGAGTTGAAGATGAATTTTTTTATTTCTGCGTCTACAATTAGTGTGTGGAAAGCTTGATTCCAAGTTGAGGCCAAGAACAAAATGGATGTTATCATCCTGATCTTTTGCACCTAATTCATAGCATAATCAGTCTTAGTGCTCAATAATCTTCTCCTCTAATAGGAAGAAATTGTAGGAAGTCATCAATGGAGTGCAACCATCACCTTTGTTTGTTCACTATTTGACAAGCGTGTTTAATGTATGAA